GAATATTTGTGTTCACTAAATATATATAGAGAACAGACCAACATGACTTTTACTAACCAACACAACTATTACAAACCAACACACCTATTAACAATAGAAACTACCCATAACTGCCTTTTAGAAACTGCCCTATTGTTTTTTATTTAAATTAATTAAATATGTAAAACACACTAAACGACACCACACTAATTGACTCTATACTAACTGACCCAAACATCGACTCATTACCCATTCGGTTATATGTGAACAAACCCGATTAAATCTAACAATCACGCCCTTAATCGTTGTTTGTTCACACTGATCTTCACAATAACGTTGGTTCATCATCTTCAATCAAGTTTGCAATCTGTTCCTTTTGATCCCATTTTGGACATTCGTTCAAAAAATGCCCTAACTCATTGCACTTGAAGCACCTAACGTGACTCTTATCCTGCTTAAACCGACCATCATCATGACCTTTCCCGGACCCCCGACCTCTACCTCGGCCACGCCCAAAGTCTTCTCGGTTTAAGCTCCAGCAACCACAATGCTCACATTTGTGCTCCTGAACCTTCTCTTTTCCATCACCTTTAGTGAAGAGTAGTTTACCATGTGTATCTCCTTCATCAGTTGGCCTTTTGATGCGTTCCTCGAATGCTTTCAATCTTCCAACCGCTTCTTGAAATGGCATTGTGTTAATGTCGGCAAACTGTTCAATTGCAGCAACGATCTGCATGAACTTTTCAGGTACAGAACCCAAAAGCTTTCGAACCAATCTTTTGTCTTCAAATGCAGACCCAAGGTTGTTTGCTTGTGTTGCAAGTTGACTAATTTTACCAGCAAAATCATCAAGTGATTCATTGTTCTTCATCTTTAGATTCTCAAAATCTGATTCAAGTGTCTGTAATCGCGCCACTTTAACCCTGTCAACACCAACAAAGCGAGTCTTCAAAGCATCCCAAATTTCTTTTGCTTCAGTAAACTGGGCAACTTGTAAGACGATCTCTTCTGGCAAAGCTTGAAACAGATATGCTATTGCCATATTGTTCTTCTTAGGATCAATTTCTGTTCCTGGTTCGATCACCTCCCAAATCCCATTAACATTAAAAATTGCTTTGATCTTCACAGAAATAGTGTAGTTTGTAGCACTTAGAATTGGAACCGTAAAAGATAGTGAACTATTCTCCCTTGTAGTCACAATCTGCTTATTGTCTTCCATTGCACGACTTTAATTCCTATGACAATTTTCACAAAATTCTTAGACTTTGATTCCTTCCTGGGTCATAAGCCACCTGGAATCGACCGACCATCAACCAGAAGACAAGCCCCTGCTTTTCCGTCTTCCAAGCCGCTAAACGAAAGCTACCCCGCTTATTCGTTTTTCCCGCGCCTTTTGGTTGGAATTCTTCTGCCAAAAAAAAAACTAGCAACTTGATGTTCTTTTTCTAGGCGAGGAAGAAATCTGGTCAAAGATTTCTGATCTGTTGTCGAGGAAATTGAAATGCTCTGGCGGATCCCTTTTGCGGTAGATCGTACACCCCCTGATCGCAATTCACACCGCTCCGATACCACATGTAAAAAACTGATAGGAAGAACAGATTGGTATGCAGAATAGAATTTTTATTGATGTAAAAAACTGTACAAGAATATTTGTGTTCACTAAATATATATAGAGAACAGACCAACATGACTTTTACTAACCAACACAACTATTACAAACCAACACACCTATTAACAATAGAAACTACCCATAACTGCCTTTTAGAAACTGCCCTATTGTTTTTTATTTAAATTAATTAAATATGTAAAACACACTAAACGACACCACACTAATTGACTCTATACTAACTGACCCAAACATCGACTCATTACCCATTCGGTTATATGTGAACAAACCCGATTAAATCTAACATTTTCTGTGTTTTTTTTTGTAGATTTTAGCCAAAAGGGTATCTTTATTTGACTACGAGCGTTTTGATGGAGGGCAGAAAAATCGAATAATTGCATTTGGAAAATTTGCTGGTTTAGCGGCAATGATTGATATTTTGAGTGGATTAGGAAAACGTAAGCACTTAATTCTACCCGTGGCAGCTCCAGTTTAGCACATTTCAATTCATTTATGAGAACTGAATGCAAGCTTGATTCCAATTTATGATTGTTCAAACATTCAAACTCTTTAAAGGATACTTGAATCTTGGATATTCAACACCATTTCTTTCCCTTGGGTCGGCATATATGTACACAAGTGTTGCTTCTGCCAAGAGCGCTGTGATTTCCGTTGCAGAGGAGATAGCAACTCATGGTCTTCCTTCAGGAATCTGTCCCATTGTCTTTGCTTTCACTGGTGCAGGAAATGGTACTATTTAAAACACAACATTGTATTATTTATGATTTTGTTTTATTATTTTCTTGATAAATTATTTTATTTGTTGTCATATGGAACTGAATTGATCATATCTTAGATCTAAAGTTTAATTCCAGCAGTTATGATTAATGAAGTTTAAAGTTCTAATTTCTAATTTTGGTTAACCTTTTGAATAGGTTTTACGCAATTTGTTTTTATAAATATGGTCACAATATGCATATTGGATACATGGAGGACTTTTTGTTTTGTATTAACTCCCTAAATCCCATGGAAACTAGAAGAGTAATATTAAGAGATGTGTACCTCACATTACTTAATTGTAACGAGAGGAATTGTCTACCACTTACAAATATAGCTTTATTATTTTAGTACCACAAACCTGACACTTAGTTAACTAGAGAGGAGTAACCCAAGGCTAGTGGTTTGTGAGAGAGAGGGTTTTAGCAATTTTGCCCGTTAAAAAATTGTAACATTATTCTAGTGCAGTTCTTGGACGCAGGTCAATTGAGAGACCAAATCATATAAAATTCTCGTGTTTTCTTATTTTTCTCTATACATATATTTTCTTATGTGTGTTTGGGTACCAATATTTTGGTTATCTATCATGAGTAACTTATACTATTAAATCTAACCATATACCTACCAAAAAAACCAATAAAGAAAACTTGGACAATTTCGCCAGCGAATATGCTAAATTACTCATGTATATTGTATCAAATCTTCAGCTTCTGTTGCTGCACAAGATATCTTTAAGCTTCTTCCTCATAGAATGGTTGAGCCAAACAAGCTTCTGGATTTATTTGAGAAGGTAGCTCCTCATATCTTTGCCAAACTTCAGTGTAGAAAACTATCTGAATGATTTATATTTCATTAGCTTAAATTTCATTGCTTGATGCCATATTATTTCTAATCATTGTACTTTTTTCTGCAATTCCGCATTCCGCGCTAAATGTCTATTTGAAGAAATTGATGGGTTGTTGGTTTACTAAAGGCATAGGCCCAAACCACTGTATTAGCAAATCCTATTTTGGTTTATGATTGTTGTCCTATCTCTAAATAATTTTCTATTACTTGGTCCTAGTCCATTATATGATTGTTTGTCTTTGTCCTACTTAGATTAAGTTGACTATTCACTTAATAATTGTTTGTCTCTGTTCTACTTTGTTTAGTATTACTAATCATAGTTAGTTTAGGAATATCATAGAGTAGCTAGAGCATATAAATAAGACGTTACCCACCAGCATGTCGAATTCTGGTGTGTAGTGCCCATGGAAAATCAAAGTATCAAACCGAGAAAGATTTCTAATTGTGGAGTAATCCGTTTATGATTTTTTATTTTCAATTGACACCATCTTACAGAAGATGGAACAAATTGCCAGAACTCTGACCCAGAAAAGCCACAACACAAAGCTGAAGTCAAATTTATTTCCTATTCTTCAACTTCTCCTAGTCGTACTAATCTTTTGCCCTTCTGTTTTAGTAACCATTCGGCGTGTTTGCTTGGTGTTAATTTCTTAAGGTATATTGTAGAAGTAGAGTGCATAATAAAAAGAAGAATGAATGCACAAAATTTTAAGTGCATAGTAAAATGGTATGAGATTTAAATTTTAAATTCAATAATGAAAAATATAGACAATGGGTCTATATTTTTTAAACAAAATACAACGTAAAGATAGCTGTAACAAACACCATCACTTTGTTGTATTCACATAAGGAATGGTTTTTGCCTAGTCTCAGGGAATCACAAGGCCTAAAGCTTCTTTAAACAGAGTATTTCAAGTATGTGGTTGCATCATAACTAGCAAAGACATGGTTGTGCATAAAGATGCTACTAAAGCCTATGACAAGGTAATAATGAAATTTACCTTTCATTTTGCTCCACCAGTTTTACTCCTTACCACTAATGGTAGAGGCTTATAATATTTGATGATTATGTTCATAGATGAAAGGCCAAAGTCAACTTTAATCAAATAGTAGGTAAGTGTTATTATGAACATCTAAGTCTGCAACTCCATATAACTATTGACCTACAATTGTACTTTAGAGTTTAGACAACCTAGCCTAATCCAAGCACCCTAACATACAAACAGTATCACCAATATAAAGCATTGGTATGGATGCTGTTAGTAAATAGTGTGTCAAGTTATCATTTTGTTAGTTTTCGGGGGTGACATCCTCCTATCTTGAAAACTCCAGTGGTTCATCCCTAATGTTATTTTTTCTCCTAATGGTGTTAAAAATTGTATGAATAGAATAATAAAGTTGAGTAGTAATCTACTCTGTGTTTTTTTATGCAAAAGTCAATGCTCTCTTCCTTTTCAATTTTTTATGTATTCAGTATTCTTGCTGCGAATTTCAGGGTGACTACTACGCACATCCTGAAAATTACAATCCTATTTTTCATGAGAAGATAGCTCCTTATGTATCTGTAATTGGTAAGTAAAACTTCAAGATATTTATATACTCTGTCTGTTCCAAAATGTTTGTCACATTATCAAAAACGAAGTGAAGTTTCTAATTTTTTTCAATTCATATATTAAAATATTTGTATAAAATTTAAAAAATAAAATTTACAAATATTTTATTTTATCAAATAACCAATGAAAACGTACAAATAAACAAAAGTTTCCATGATTTTTAAATAGTGAATTATGGCTTTCTTTTTGGGACGGAGGGAGTTATTACTAATGTTCAATTTCCCTTGTGTTTTCACTAATTGTAACAAGTTCTATATATTTTTTGTTTTATAAGGACATTTGGCTCTCTTTCTAACTCAATTTGGTAGGCCTTGAATTCGTCACATTTCATTATTTATGTAGGTACAGAAATATTGTGGACACGATGTAATTATTAAACATCACTTTAAAATACTCTACATCAATGTTTTTTTCCCAAGAATTCATTTTGTGACGCATCATGGGCTATTCTCTCTTAAAGAAATATTCCGTATGTTCTTCAAACATTTTCCACGATTATTGAGCACCTTGCAACTTCAAGATCTGGCAAGAAAGGGATTTCCGCTTGTTGCTATAAGTGATCTGACTTGCGACATCAGAGGCTCCATCGAGATTGTCAACCAGACCACATCATTTGACTCCCCCTTCTTCAGGTGTTTGTCTGATCTGATTTGATATTAGTGTTAACAGTTTTCTAGCTGATTTTTTCCAGGTGTAACCTCTGCAGTAATTCTTTCTTGGTTGTTGGTTAATGGTCGCGGGTTTCAGATACGATCCATTGAATGATTCATACCATCATGACATAGAAGGAAATGGAGTTATATGCTCAGTTGTTGACAATTTTCCAACGGAGTTGGCAAAAGAGGTATCGTACATCTTAAGGCACTTCATCTCACACTACAAAAAACTGCTGAAATCGCGACGGAATTATTCCGTCGCCAAAGCCTGATTTCCGTAGGGAATCGGCCTAGCGACGGAAACAACGACGGTTTGTATTCTGTCGTTATTTTTTCGTTACTAATAAGTTTAACGATGGATTATTTAATCCGTCGCTAGGCTACGACGGAATGAGGCGACGGAATTAACGACGGAAAATTTCCGTCGCTAAGATTAACGACGGTTTTAGCTACCGTTTCTGCATTTTGACCATACAGCGACGGAAATGATATTCCGTCGCCAAATCCGTCGCCAATTTTACAGCACGAATACAGAAATCTGCCATTTTTTCAATTTCACACAACATCCATAGCAACCTGCTCTAGCCCAGGAATCCACAGCATCAAACAACAACAAATACTAGAAATGAAAAATACCAAACAACCAAGAATAGTCAAATCACCAAACTACAATTAAAATTCAAATAATATTTATAAAAATTCAACCTAACAATCAAATCTAACTCTACTTACATAACCATCAAACTTAAGTTTAATATAATGTTCTTCAATTCTAATAAAATATTCAACAAGCGTGTGCAAACCCCGTATCTCATCAGGTCATCTCTTCTATAATCGACAATAGTTTACGCACTTGGGAAGCTCTAATGTCGTCTAGCTCTTCTCTCAACCTCTGTATCTCATCATCTTGAGGGTCTCACATAGAGATGGTGCTAGCACGTGTTATATCTCAGCTCCGGGTTTTATAGTTAAAACCTCTTTATTTGCAGGGAAGGGGAGATAATCGATTGTCCTGAGTGGATAATCGATTGTTAAGGGCTTCAGGTTCTTGGGCAGTTTTCTGGGGGGGGGGGGATAATCGATTTACAGTAGCAATAATCGATTATTTGACAGTTTTCTGGGCAGGAAGAAGGGTGTTTTTGTGGGGAATGGACTGGAAATATATGGAGTTGATGAGGGAGTTCTTTTGGGTATTTTAATGGAAGAAAAGAGTGAGATTAAGAGGAGAAATGGGGAGGTATGAAATGGAAGAAAATCAGGGATGGATAAACCAAGTTGGTGTTTAAGAGATATTACACACTCTTATCCTAACTTGGGGTTTGAATCTAGAATTTAATTAAGATATGACACACTTAAT